TAATTGGTTTGGTTTGATTTAAGAATTAAATTAAATTGAATATAGATATATTTGATACTACATGTTGGTTTTTTTTTACCACGATTTACTTTCCTTGGCTAACTAAGGAATATAGCATTAGCTTTGGTCGCAAATCAAATTGGATAAGGAAAGTGAAACCCAGAATATTATATGTTTCTTTGTTTTAACTCCAAATATTATAGCCTTCGCAGAGTACGGGCCCAAGCTCGTCCAGTACGGGCCCAAGAAAATCATGTGGTCACAAGAAAGGTATAAAGGGTTTCTAGCGGAATCAGAAGGCACTAATCCCATCGACTATTGAAACCCAATCATCACGACTAAGAAGATTTTTCATAGTAGGTATAGATTCAACAAATCGAAAAAATTATATTTTCTGGAAACAAGTCGAATATATATCACTAAAACAAAAAGGAAATTTCAATTTGTTAATTCCAAACCGCACGTCACACTAAGGAAACCAAAACATATGACGCAATCTGCCTTCTCTATCTTGAAAGCAACGTGAACCACCTAAGCGCGTCAATGAGGTTACCCAAGCATTACTTGAGTCGGGTAAAAACAGTGTTTACCATAATGGGCCGTAGCTTTTTACGTATCCTAAGATATCACTGAGTACTTGTATAAAGCCTTGTTCGAAGCGAAATACGTCAATAATCGTCGAATTAAAAGACCGCAACTTCTTGCATATCGTTTGCTATCAAATGTGTTTTTTTTTCTGGCTTTGCAAAAGGCGTGGTAGAAAAATATACTATATAGAGTCTCCTTAAATTCTTGAAATTTTTTAAAACTGCAAAGGGAATTTATCGATACCATATATTGTTGTGGCCCTCACAGATGTAATAAATGAAATAAATATATTTGAACAATTACTGATTAAAAAATAACAAACCCAGTTAAGATATATTGGGAACTGAATTCATAACAAAATTGAAATTGTAAACGGACTTTATGGACACACTGTATAAATATGAAAACATCGCCTCATTTTTGCATTGAAGTGATTTGAAATTGTCGATAGGTTGGTTGCTGAATGCTAACACTTATTATAGACAAGTGCACGTTTGAACCTGCTAACTCAAGAAGTTTCAAAAGCTTATTTTTATCGAAGGTATACTTAGGATTATTACAGATCCCCATTCGCGTCAATGGAGCTTAACCAGGCAAATAGCCTGTCGACAACAATATCACGTTTCCCACCTATCTAGTAAATGCCAAATGAGTTTGCCGCTCTAAAAGTCGTTGAAACAAAGTATTGTAGACGACAATAAACACTCTATTACAATACTCTTGACAACACAACAGTATCATATATCACATACAATACATATTCCCTCCTACTAAGATTTTTTCTTAAGTGTAGTTTAAAAGCCTTTCAAGTCTCGCTTTAACCGGTGCCTACTAATATATTTGAGGTAACATAAAATTCCAAACAAATGTTTTTAAAAGGAATTCAGATGTTTTAGGTTTTATCAGATATATATGGTTATAGAATATATTCCATCGCACAGAGCTTTTTCCTGGCAGTGCAGACCTACACTGTTTCAAGTTCCGTTTCAATTGGTTTCTACTAATATATTTGCAGTTACAGTGAATTCACATGAAGTGGGGAGTGCAAAAGGTTCGAAGAAAAGTCGAAAATCGGGTTGTTCGACAAACGTTTTATAGGAAATTCAGATTTTTCCAATCTATCAGTGGATTTAAAACAGGTAATACGCGCATACACTTTTAGGTAAAATTGCGAAAATACCTATCTTTTTATCATGTACAAATTCATTGAATAATCCACGGAAACGGTATTTGTCAGATTTCAACACCGACTGGCATTCTCGCGCGATGATGTATAGCAATAGAGCCAACTCAATAACAAAGGCAATTTAGTAAGCTATGGTTAAAAGTCTAATTCTCCTGCTTTATTTAACGACACCGAACTGTAAATAATTTAGTTATCGGTAAACCCGCCCACCTATTTTGTAATTAGCCTTTTTGAAGCGCTCAATTCCGTTTGAACACAATTGAGCATGACTCACAAATATTAGTAAATACAAGTGATTCTAATGGCGGTTATTTCGTGTTTTATGTGTTGTTTTTTAGCGTGTGTTTGCGGCATTTTATTCCCAAATATGAAATGTCCGGTATGCCTTAGGGCAAGTGCGAAATCGCCGAGGTAATTTTATTAAACGCGGGTACCGAGTTACTATGAAGCAATGAATTTTCTTCACTGTTATTGGTCAAAATTCCGGAAAGAATTGCGGAACATAGTAATACCAATTGAAAATTTCTTTGTCTTTATTTATTGATAGTCTTTATCGTGCTTGTAGTTCTCATTTATCGCACAAGAAAAATTCTTTAAATTTACAATTGTTATTTCTATAAAATCGGGCGAAATTGTTAATTGGCATTACTATAAAAAAAGGCGAAACTTTTTGCACACAGTGTATAAAACTAGAAGAATCTACGGTACCAAAACGCAAAAAATGCTTTGATTTACCATGAACAAGCCCGGTATCGACCATTCCAGGTTAGGGTTAGGCCATAATTTTATGTACAAATACTACGGGAGTCACTTGACTAGTGCCTGAACTGATAATAGAACTAAAATACGAAAATTTGGAATAAAATTATGGCCTATCCCTAACCTGGTACACAAGCTACGTTCCGGTGTCCGCCATCTTGGTTCACATACTTCGGGAGTACCGAATGTTAATATTAGACGATCAATTGGCGACTCGAAATGTCGACCACAATTAATAACATCATTGTTGAAATTTCACACACTCAAAACCAGTAATAATAACAATCATTATTGTGATGAAATAATGCATACCATCGCTATATTATGTCGTCACATTCCAATATTGAAACGCAACAATAACCAATTCAACAAAAGCGAAAAATATCATATTTTTTGTTTACATATTATTTTAAATATTATTAGTATGAAATGGTGATTTTAAACATGGCGTCTAGAAAGACCACGTGCTGAACGCGTGATACAAGCATGATTCGTGCATGGTTCCCAACTTTATTGTTCAAAATCATTCATCACTCAACTGTTCCCAATAGACCATGATTGCGGATAATAAATAAGTCATCTGTCAGTAAGGTCTATTCAAGCGAGACTTTGGCACGTAGGAAATAAGATAAACAGTTGAAATATTCCGCATTTGGCCAAACTGCTTCTACACATAAAGACTCTCGAATATACTCCACAAACGGCCGAAAATAAGCCGGTAACTGATATTTGGATTATATTTTAATACAACTTTATAACATTTTATCCCGAGCTCAAATTTCTCACAAATGCACAAATTTTTTCATTTTAATAAATTCAATTAATTATTGCTTTATTATCATATTTAAAACAATACATCATATCCAATTTATATTTCCATTAGATTTATATTAATAACATCATAACATATTATAGGAACTAAAGTTCAAATTCAAACCTAAAGGTAAAATTATAAATTATATTTAGCTACATTTACCCCAGCTGAATAAACGATTTGGTTCATTGGTCTTCTAATACAGAGTTTATTTGTGTTAACGTTTCATTATGTATTTATTTATATTAGTAAAGAGTTATGAATTTAAAAAACTTGAAAACTATTGTCACCCAATAAGCATATCCATACGAAGAGCTATAATTCAATCACATGGGCTTAAAATTTTCATTGTCATACATAATTTATATTTCCAATAACTGTATGAATTCTACACACGTTTGTCTGAAGCCCGTGAGTCATTACGTCATACTATCGATTTTAGAAAAATAAATTTGAATCCTTTCAATTCGGCCATAAACGTGTGAACTTGAGTTGTCTTTTATAATTTGATTTGAAATTGAGAATATACACAGCCACTAGCAATGTTTATTATTCCCTTTATAATTTCATTAAAACTTAAAATTCGGTACTCTCGTAGTATGTGAACCAAGATGGCGACACCGGAACGTAGTATGTGTACCAGGTTAGGGTTAGGCCATACATTTAGGTACATATACTACAGAAGTCACTTGGCTAGTCCCCGAGATCGTAATAGAACTAAAATAAGAAAAAATGGAATGACCTCATGGTCTAACCCTAACCCATACTACATTCCGGTGTCCGCCATCTTGGTTCGCATACTACACGAGTACCTAGAATTCTAGCTATTTGAATATCGGAACCCTATTAAAGAAATGGCCGCTTCTATTTCGGAAGAAAATTAAAACAATTGGTCAAAATTGAGCATCAACAATATCTTTCGCTTCTTACTGATTGTGTATGTTTTACTATATGAGTAAGCTTGGTTTAATTTATACAATTCTAAATTACCTTTTGGTAAACATTCATCCGTTTGAATTACGAAACGATAACTGGTTAATAACACTAAAAAAATGCGAAAAATTTGCGAGGAAACTAATAGAATGTGTCATCGTCGGTATCAGGGGACGTAATATAACTCGATGATCCAACCACTAACCAAGTCTATGTAATCTATTACAACTTCGTGTAAAACATGAATTCTTTTGAGAATTGGGGTAAATAGGCAGATAGGAATGAGCATTGCGACACACATTAATTTGGCAATGACGTAAAACTATTTGCCAGTACTACTTACTGATCGTGAAAACATTAGACAGCAATAAATTGGATTTAAGTAGAGAATTCGAATCGGAATAAATTGCAAATAACAATTCTGGAACCTTCGAATCATTCAAATACAAAGTAACAACGCTTCGTGGAAACAAAAACTCGTGAAAAACTTTGCTTCTCCCTTATTGTATCACTACGTCCATTTCATTAAAACGTTTGCTCTAACGAGTATAGAATATTACATAGATAGTTTAGAAATAGATAAGTGTTTAAAGGGCTATTCAAGAAGCTCGTCTTTGTCCTGAAAAACTCACTGACCTATGTTATATAAGCTAGTTGCTGAACTGGCGCAATTTCACATCTTATTTCTATACAAAGTCATAAAAAGAAACATAGACTCACCAGAAACGGCCAACAAGCAGAATAATATAGAAATCTTCATATTGGATGAGATCCTTTCGTGGTGACAATCAGATTTCGAATGAGAGATGTATAGAGGACAACTCCTATTTAGCTATAGCTAACAACAAACTGTGAAAATGTGAGCAAATATTAAACACTTTCCAAAGAATGGGATGTAAATCTTCACGCCTATTTTTTATCGTCCTAAATGACTTAATTAAACAAAGAGAAGAATTACACGCTGCGTCTGATCGTACGCAACTTTCCTTCAAGAAATAGGTCGTCTGCTAAAATCAGTTTTACTATGCAATATCACTGTCTCCCATTGTTTCACGTCTCTCTACATTTCTACTCTTGTATTGTGAAAATTGACACACTTATGAATTAACTTTCTGTTCGCGTTACCCGAGGCTTACTACCTAACCGTTCTCCATGCATCTGAGCTGTTGAATTCCTTTAGAAAATAATGCAAGCGTGTTCTAGCAAGAATTGAGATGACTAATTGAGATGATTTAATTAACTCAAAAGTTCATAAGTCTTGCTTGACACTTTCACAAATTTATTTTCTGAAACTTAAAATCATTTTTGGATGGACATGAGGGGTGGGGTAGTCAAGATAAGTAAATACGTCGGCAAGAAACAAGCTTGGGTTTTATCACTAAAATTCAATTTTTATTTCGTTTTTATGTTTGGTCTTGTTCGCAGAAAATGACTGCAAAGTAACTTAAATTCCCAATCCATTCGGGATTTGGTAAAATGAGATTACGCTTTTGTTTCTTTTCTATGATGTAATCGCTGTGAATACGTATAGTAAAACCATACATAACATTTATGACGTGCCTGAAAATTCAGGTGTGAAACTTTGTAATTAAATCGTGCTGCAGTTTGTCTTCTCTGAGAGAGAAAGAACTGAAGATTCAAATATAAAATACTGGCGAATCAGATACATACAAATATCTATCTCTGAAAGTCACTGTTAATTAAACAATCATCCGGCGAAATACAAATGTTGACGTCAGTATACTTGGTCTATGTCTCTACGTGAAGGCGCGAAAGTTTGAACGAATCATATTGGCAACCTTGTGCACTCATTCAATTGCAGTGTGGACGCTAGAAAAACAGAAAATTTGTCAAACAGCTTGCTATTGCTTTTTACAGAGAATAACTTTTCCAGTTTTTTCAAAAGCATATGTTATGTTACACTCATAGATGATCATAATGTCGTCCGTGTACTTCAGAGCAGTGTCTTAACGTAGAAGTCAAGCTTATGTGGCGTTTTGAAGGTTAACTTGTGGGATATCGTTCAAACTACACCTATATGCATTTTATTAGCGAATAACCGCGATCTCATTTAATTTCCAAATTTTAAGCTTTTCCAGCGACCACCCTATACTAATAAGACGTTGACTATAATAATGAGACGCTCGAAGTTTGGATACATTTTTTCGAAACAACGTAGCGTGAAATTGATTAGTGATTTGCAACTGTAATTCCCTTTATCTCATTAAAATTCAATGAACAAATGTTCACCATAAGCTCATTAAAATTATATGACAGGAGTTTTATTTTAATTCACTAAGTATGCCCGTGTCAGATTCTCAAACTAACTGTTCTGAAGACCTCACTTTTCATCTACACTCAATGGTTCTCAAACGATCACAATTTTTGAGAGTTCGTGACGCTAATTGAGAATAAAAATATTTGTTATATTTGATCTTGCCCGCCTTATGTCGAATATTTACATTTCTTTATTTTAGATATTTACGTTCCATCCACGTATTTTCAACCTGCTTTTTGCATAAAAAATTCTTTCGCCCTTCTATCTGTTATATGAGCTTATCGTTAGCTAGTTATTTTCGAATTCTTAACAGGGGGGCGCGGCTTGAAAAGTTTGAGAATCACTGATTTACATGTAGCAAAAGGGCATAAACGATGTATTTCGAGTTGTGGTTTGGTCTGTATTTTCGAGACGGTTTCAAATCAGTGCAGAACTTATTCCTAGATCATTATAATATATCATTATAACATTCAATTTCAACATAACATTCAAAGTTTTAAATAAACGAGAATATCGGTCGGAGACCGAAGACTTATCGATCTTAGATCGGTAATTAGTTAATAACTCGCTAATTATACGACCTAATTAACCCAAAATCGATAGGCGTCTGGTCCGAGGTAAGGTGCATGCACATGCAAAAGCAGATGGAGCAGATTCAACCACGCGTTCGTGAGATATCGCGTTCATCTAACAGACACACACACACACAGACAGACAGACAGACATACATACAAATACCTATCAATATACTTACCGATCTTAAGATCGATAAGTAATAATATTTGCTCGGCACCCGGTGAACTGTCTCACAAAACTTGGCTTTTCGTCACAGTGGGTCTACTACAGTCTCTTCCAGTACTATGACTCGCAAACATTCGCAAGCACTGTTAGATTATTACGTTATCCTTACTTAGTCAGTAGAATAGTAGAAACCTTACTCAGTCAGTAGAATAAGTCAGTCATATTATGTAAGAGCCTACATACTCAACCTGGAGCTCACCTGAAACGCTATCGCCGTACCTGATACTGTCGTCTCCCCTCGCGATAATTTGAATATACAAAGAATCCAAACAGCAGAACTTGTAAACTTTCTGTCAGCAAATTGGATTTATGTTCAATTTCATAGTGCATTCATGCGATGTGCGTCAATATTGAAAGTACAAGTTAAACATTCCATGCTATTACAGATGTGTAGAGAAACTCAAATTCAAACAAGACTTGGCATATTTGGAAATCTATAAATCTGTGTGATTCACGTAGGATTGACTTTGACATAATAATATAGCCTATATAAGTAATATCACAGACTTATTTGTAACGCCCTATACTAAAATAAATGCTAACCGAAGTCGTTTGCGATTCTAAAACGATGATTGATTTTGTCATGGATCTTACTTCTTACCCCTTACTCACTCAAGTTTCACATCCATCCCAACTCACAACTAACTACTGAACCTCATTCACTCCACATTAAGATTAAAGAAGATTAAAGCCGAGTTAGCGTTGTTCCCAAAAATCATAAATTTTATTCAGAACCCCACTTCATATGTTTACTTGAATCTTTTTATATCAACCCAAACTCGAAACAAACTATGGGACCCCTTTCACTTTAAATTTAACGCGAAACGACCAAGGTATCCCACAATAAAGGGATGATTTCTTGAAATTTAAGCACGACTTCCAACTCCTACGCAGAATGATTTCATCTGACCGAAATGGATGATTTATTATTTCGGATTCTTATTCGAGCCGTTTGCTTCTAAAATGTCACCAAGTTTGAACTCAACTGAGAATGTCTCAACACTCTAACAAAAATGGAAAATTTGGATGCCATTACATGAATTAGATGACCTTCCCCACGCGAAGAAGGGGCGTTCCAGAAGTGTTTGTACCAATATGAAAGTAACTAATTTTGTTCGCCTACTTTACATTCTATGCCTATGGGCAGGGGGTATATTCACTTGGATAACACAGACAATCGCCGAACTCGTAATAGAACTAAAATAAAAATTAATGTAAATTATGTCCTAACCCAAACATGGTACAGGGAATACCGAAGAAGGCAAGTGATTCTGCTGCTTTGTATGAGATTGTTGTTTAAGCAATTTCGTTTTAAAATGACATCAAGTTTGATAGCAACTGCGAATGACTAAATACGCTAAGAATCAAATTCAAAAGGCATTCCTCATAATGATAAGGAATCGCGTTGAATCGGTGACTCACTTATCTGCCTGGTTGCTATACTCGAAAAAGTAAAAAATTCCGCTGCTTTTTGGAGTTTGTTATTTGGCCCATTTGGTTCCAAAATGTCATGTTCCTTGAATTCAGTGACTCAATATAATTAGAAAAAGAATGACTGCAAACCGTTATGAATCAGATTGCTTTCTATAGTAGTTTATATTTAAGAATGTAAATGTTTCTGTTGCTTTTGCTGTAGCAGACTGGAAATATAGCTTATCAATGATCGGACTAAATTTCGCCTCGGGTAAATCGAAAGAGAGATTTCCTAATCACTTTAAACATGTAAAATAATTTATCACAGATTTTATTGCCGACAATGTGAATAATGTCCTTGCTAATACAAACTTCCATAGAGGCAACTCTATTTAATATTGTGCATTTTGTTCACCCAAATCACAAACGAAAAACCATGCTCTCAAAAACGATATATGAAGCCATGACAAATAGCAATAGAAATTAGGTAATAATTTGACTAGGGTTACGAATTGACGTGACTGATTCACCACTAATTTTCTAATTTATTTTCTTTCGTTCTGTTTATCTTAAGCTAGTTTGACCTAAACTTCTGTTATACCCAACTTATCCTAACTTAAGACAAACGGAAAGAATCGGTGGTGGCGAATGGCGAAAGAATAGTAAAGTACCAATATATCTGGCTTACGAGTTTAACGCCCTGCATACAATACTAACAAAAATATCTCTCCTTCTTTAACACGTCACCTTCTGCTACCTGGACTGCATCTATCTGTTGGACTTAGCTATTCACCTTGCTGACTTAACTTGCGTTTTGCTCGTTTTTTAGATACCCAGAATTGTTTTTCAGCGTCTGATTTCACCCTGAATTACGATTTTTTTCTTCAATTTGTATATGTATATTGGTAGTTGAACTATGTATGTCTGAAGAAGTCTGACCTTGGTCAGACGAAACGTTACAGAAATATATTTGTGTTAGTGTGCAGCAAGACTCTTGAATCACTTAGGATTGTATATGTATAATTTTTCAGTACTGTATGGTAAAGAAATAAATTACTGATCATTACTGACACTTCAGCTACCTGTACTAAGTCTGTCTGATTTGTACTTAGTTATTCACCTTGCTATACCCAACGTACTTTGTACGTACTACAACGTACTACATTCACGCAGTGGTTTCCTTCATAACCGTTTAACTATCAGCGCAAAATAACCAGATAATCTATATACGATTAAACTAACTCCAGCGTAAATCATTCATAGGATGCAAGATTTCATCCCCCGCGGCGATGTACCAATTTAGAACGCTCGTATTTTTAAGCCTTCAAGTCTACGCCATATGGTAATAATTACTTCTATCTATTCTTAACAATGCAAACTCAA